CAGCCCGGGATGGTGCCTGTATCCCGGCACGGGTACCCGCATCCCGGTACTGGTACCCACATCCCGCTACGGTACCTGCATCCCGGTACAGGTACCCACATCCCAGTACGGTACCTGCATTCCGGTACTGGTACCCACATCCTGGTACAGTACCTGTATCCCAGTACAGGTACCCACATCCTGGTACTGGTACTCACATCCCAGTACGGTACCTGCATCCTACTATGGATACCCACATTCCAGTACTGGTACTCACAGCCCAACACAGTACCTGTATCCTGGTACAGCACCTGCATCCTGGTACGGTACCTGCATCCCAGTATAAGTACCTACATCCCAGTACTGGTACCCACATCCCAGTACGGTACCTTCATCCCAGTACAGTATCTGCATCTCGGTACCAAAACTCACATTCCATTTACAGCACCTGCATCCCAGTATGGGCACCTGCATCCCAGTACTCCCAGCACAGTATCTGCATCCCAGTACTGATACCTGCATCCTGGTACATGTTTTTGCATCACGGTGCAGCACCTGCATCCTGCTACAGGAACCCATATCCTGGCATAGCACCTGCATCCCCGTATGGGCACCAGGTACCTCCTGAATCTGGCACAGGTGACTGCAAACTTCACCTCCAGCCTAACCCTGGCTCCCCCAGGCCAGCACCGGTCTGGGTGCACCCCCCATGGGTGCTCCACCTGCCCTGGGGCACATGGTGCCGCCTGGCACCCGGTGCCCTTGAACTGGAACCCCTTTCATGACGTGCAGACCCCCAGGCCAGGCCTGCTACCCCCATGCACCTCGTCCCGTGGGGCTGGGTGTCCCCAGGCCCCGGCCCTGGCACTGTCCCCATTCCTCCAGGCCACAGCTCAGCCTCACTGCGAGCGCCAGGGCAGCTCTGGGCTTCACAGCCCTGCCATGGCATGGGGCTGTCTCCGGCTGGCCTGGCACTGCTGTGGCTTGGGGCTGTCCCCACGCCAGGGCAGAGGGGCTGGGAGGCAGCAGGCTGGTGATGCTGGCTGGCAC